GCAAAACAGAGAAACAAAATAAAATATAAAACAAAATACTGAACAAAACTATAGTTCATTGGTCTTCACACTTCTTTAAATTTGCTTCATAAAATATGATTCTTAATATTTCCTACTAGAATCTATTCAAGTAAAACAAACTATTTATGATTCACTGACAGCATCTGCTAACTTTAAATATTTTACCTAAATTTAATTTTTATTCATTCACAGGATGAGGGCATCACTGGCTCGGCCAGCATTTATTGCCCATCCCTAATTGCCCAGAGGGCAGTAAAGTGTCAACCACATTGCTGTCACATGTAGGCCAGACCAGGTTTCCTTCCCTAAGGACATTAGTGAACCAGATGGGTTTTTCCTGACAATCAACAATGGATTCATTGTCATCATTAGACTCTTAATTTCAATATTTTACTGAATTCAAAATTGCACCATCTGCCATGGTGGGATTCAAACCCGGGTCCCCAGAACATTACCTGGGTCTCTGGATTAACAGTACAGTGATAACATCAGTAGGCCACTGCCTCCCCTATACTTCTAAAATACATCTAAAGTCACTTCTGGTATACGACATTTAATTTTGAATGTGGTCAGGCAGTGGGCTAGGGAAAAAGGAAGTCTATATTTTTTCAAAGGGGTATGCTCCTACATTTTAAAAAACATGAAATTATGCAGCCTCCTTCACTTGCAAACCAAGTTGATGTACTTTTAGTTTCTCAGTTAGATGCAGAAAAAAAAACTTACATAAAAAGATAGAAACTTTGCAATTGTACAAGGAATAAAAATTTGAGGTATTCCATGTGCTCTATTCTTGAATATATATCTTTATATTGAAAAGGATTGGTGTACAGATTTAGGAGAAAATACAAAACTTTTTGTCTAGCTGAAAACCATTTCCAGAACTCTTACACAAGTTGTCTTACCATAAAAAACATCCAGGTTGGAATTAGCATTACCACAGCAGCAGCACTAGTATAAAACTGCAGTTCAGGTGGTCTAGAAATGCAAACACAAAACATTTCAAATACATGGAAATGTTAGAATAATTGCAGAATAGAAGGAGGGCATTTGGTCCTTCATGTCCTTACAGTCTTTCTACAAGAGCAACTCAGTTTGACCCCTTTCCCCAATCTTTTTCGAAGTCCTGCAAACATTTGCCCCACATATAATGATTCAGTTCCATTTTGAAAGTCACTACTGAATCTGCAACACCACACAGTGCATTCCAGATCCTAACTGCTCACTGCATACCAGGTTTGCCTTATGTCACCTTTGGTTCTTTTGTCATTTCCATAAATTCAAGTCCCCTAATTGTTGATCATTCTAGCAATTTCTCCTTAAGTACTCTGTCTGGACCCTCAATTTTGAACACAATCCACAATATTGCTTTTTTTGGACATCCTACAGTATAGAAAGGCAATTGTGCTGAAGCAGCCTGGAATGCACCTTTAATTTAGCTGCCATCAATTACTAGAAAATTGCTATAAAAATTCCTATAAAAGCACTGCCCTAAAAGATTATTGAAATGGACAATTTTGGTGTAGTTTCAGAGGTGACCAATTCAACATTATACATTGCCCCAGGGTAAAACTTTTACAATTCTGTTACAGGACAAGAAAATGTTTGATGATTTGCCAGTTTCTACCACTAGGAAACAATTTCTTCCATATATGGGCCTATAATGATCAAAATGGTAAATATTTATCTGAAGAATACATTTAGTGATCAAAAATATTTGCAGCATATTTTACCTTCCGGATTTCATTTCAATTTGCACAGCCTCAGCTAAAATCCAATTAAAACCAGAAGATACAGGAGCAGATTTCGGCCATTCAGCCCATCACATCTGCTCTACCATTTGATTATGGCTGATATGTTTCTCAACCCCATTCTCCTGCCTTCTCCCTGTAACCCTTGAGCCCCTTACTAATCAAGAACCTATCCTGTCTCTGTCTTAAATACACTCAATAAGTTGGTTTCCACAGCCCTCTGCATATTGCCTTCCACAGATTCATCAAACTCTGGATGAAGAAATTACCCCTCATCTCAGTTCTAAAAGGTGGTCCCTTCCCTCAGAGGCTATGCCCTTGGTCCTAGTCGTTCCTACTAGGGGTATTTCTTCTCCACGTCCACTCTATCCAAGCCTCTCAGTATTTTGTCAGTTTCAATCAGATCCCCCACACATTCTTCTAAACTCCATCAAGTACAGTCCCAGAGAACTCAACCACTCCCCGTTTGACAAACTCTTCATCCCTGGAATCATTCTTGTAAACCTCCTCTGGACCCACTCCAATGCCACCAATCCTTCCTAGGTTACAGACAGCAAAACTGCTCACATATTTTCCAAATGTGGTCTGACCGCAGCCTTGAACTGTTGTAGCTGTATCTCTCTGCTCTTGTATTCTAGCCCTCTTGAAACGAATGCTAATATTGCATTTGCCTTCTAAACAGCCAACTGAACATGCAAGTTAACTTTAAGAGAATCATGAACTAGGTCTCCCAAGTCCCTTTGAGTTTCAGATTTCCGAAGCCTTTCCCTGTTGAGAAAATAGTCTATGCCTCTATTCTTCCGACTCAAATGTATAACCTCATTTTCCCAAACTGTATTCCATCTGCCACTTCTTTGTCCACTCGCCTATCATAGTCAAGTCCTTCTGAAACCTCCTCACTTCATCATTACCTGTCCCTCCACCTAGTTTTGTCATCTGCAAACTTAGCAATAACGGCCTCAGTTTCTTCGTCCAGATAATTAATGTACAACATCAATAGCTGTGGTCCCAACACTGACCCTGAAGAACTCCACTACTTATGGACTGCCATCCTGCAAAAGACCTCTTCATTACCACTCACTGCCTTCTGCCAGTCAGCCAATCCTTTATTCATTCCAGTACCTTGCTCTTAACACAATGGGCTCTTATCTTATTCAGCAGCCTCCTGTGCGACACTTTGTTGAAGGCTTTCTGGAAATCCAAAAAGAGATCAGGTCCACTGGCTCTCCTTTGTCTAACTTGCTCATTATCTCCTCAAAAAATTTTAATATATTTGTCAGGCGTGACCTCCCCCAAAGAAGCCACATTGACTCAGTCCTATTTCACCATGCACTTCCAAGTACTCTGCAATTTCATCCTTAATAGGGGACTCTAAAATCTTATCAATGACTGAGGCCAGGCTAACCAAACTATAGGTTCCCCAACTTCTGCCTCTTTCCCTTCTTAAACAGGGGTGTTACAGTAGCCATTTTCCTGTCCTTTAGGACCCTCCCTGACTCTAGTGATTCTAATTACGTATTCAAGACAGAGCTGGATGTGGCCATTGCGGCTAAAGGGATCAAGGGATCAAGGGATGTGGACAGAAAGCGCAAATGGGATACTGAAATTGCATAATCAGCCATGATCATATTGAAAGGTGGTGCAGGCTCAAAAGGACTGAATGGTCTACTCCTGCACCTATTCTCTATGTTTCTACAGAAGATCACAACAAATGCATCTACAATCTCCTTAGCTATCTCTTTCAGAACTCTGGGGTGTAGTCCATCTGGTCCAAGTGACTTATCCACCTTCTGACATTTCAGCTTCCCCAACATCCTCTCCTTAGTGATGGCCACTACATTCACCTCTGACCCTGACAATTGAAGTTCTTGTATTTTACTTCCTCACTTTCAAATTACTCTAAAATTTACTGAATTTACTATAATTCATGTGAGATGTTCACAGCATGTGTAATAGTATCCAGAATTTACCAGCAATTAAAAATTCAACATTCAGAATCCCTATAAAGAAAAACAAATAGTTGGGATATCCTTTAAGTCTTTCTTGCTTTGTCAAAGTTCCAGGCTACTGCCTCCATGCTGATCCTTGAAGCCCAAATTGGAAAATGCCACGTTTACATTGCTTCCTGGGAGCAGCTCATCAGGAGTTTGTTTCAAAAACATACATGGCAAATGGCGGCATAGCAGGAGTTTGACTGCAACATTAAAGGTTGGTGTGTAAATGTATCCTAAAATTTATCAATACTTGGATTTGTGGCCAATAAAGGCAAAATGCAATGCAGGGGGAATGTGAGCTCAGCTGAAGTATTTAAAGTAGCACATTCTGGCACAAGCAATCAACAGGAAGACTGAAAGAAAACACACTGGTGGGAGCAAGGCTTGGATGGTATTAGTTCGCAAATAGAGGAGGGAAAGTAAAAATGTTCAAATGTAAATAAAACTTTGATTTATTTTAATCATAATACAGGATATAGATTGAGTTACATTAAGTTAACAGTAATGATACCAAAAAGATAAAAGTGAAATGACTAACACTTACGAGAATTTATATTTGTCTCCACTAAGCAATTTTTTAGAGAAGACATTCTGTAAACTGAAAAGATTTGCATTACCACAGGTGCCACATAGCATGCTTTAATAAAACTGACATTTAATTAGATAAATTTGCAACCATTTTCGTGCCTGAAAATCTAATTTAAAATGAATATAAAGTCTCTTATAATAAGATCACACAATATTATTAATGGCTACAAATCCAGCCTTTGAATCTAAAGTCAGATTCCTGTGTGGTGTGGCAGTTACGTGGTGGATAAATTTTAGCAGTGTTCTAAGTTCCTGGCTTTCACTCATATTGCAGAATGCAAGGGAGCCAAGAATTTAGAACACTTAAATTTTGTCCACAATCACACTGCTTTGCCACCATCACCAAGACTACTCATTTCCACTTCCATTTCCACCCAATGTGTCCTTTCCTTAGTTCATCTACTGCTGAAACTATCAACCCATGTCTTTGTTTCTTGAAAATTCTGATCTACTCCTGGCCAGCTGCCCATGTTTTAGAGTGTGCAAATGCAAGGTCAAACTTTGCTGCTTGCGTCCTAATTCGCAGCAAATCCTGTTCACTAAGTCCAATGGTTGCTGGCCTACATGTATCCTGATAAAACAATGACTCAACTATAAAAACCGAAAGAACTGTGGATGCTGTAAATCAGGAACAAAGACAGAAGTTGCTGGAAAAGCTCAGGCAAGTCTGGCAGCATCTGTGAAGAAAAAAATCAGAGTTAACGTTTCGGGTCTGGTGACTCTTCCTCAGTTCAGTTCCTCAGGCACCTCATCTTCAGGTATGCCTGGTGCTGCTCCTGGCATGCCCTCTTGCACTTTCCATTGAACCAGGGTGGTTCCCCTGGCTTGATGGTAATGGTTGAGTGGGGGATATGCCGGGCCAGGAGGTTACAGATTGTGCTGGAGTACAATTCTGCTGCTGTTGATGGCAGCTAACTCATGGATGGTGAGTCTTGAGTAGCTAGATCTGTGCAAAGTCTGTCCCATTTAGCACAGTGATAGTGCCACACAACACGATGGAAGTTATTCTCGAAGTGAAGGCGGGACTTCGTTTCCACAAGGACTGTGCGATGGTCATTCTTACCGATACTATCATGGACAGATGCAACTGCAGCTGGCAGATTGGTAAGGATGCGGTCAAGTATGTTTTTCCCTCTTGTTGGCTCCCTCCCCACCTGCCGCAGACCCAGTCTAGCAGCTATGTCCTTTAGGACCCGACCAGCTCAATCAGTAGTACTGCTGCCGAGCCACTCTTGGTGGTGGACATTGAAATCCCCCACCCAGAGTACATTTTGTGCCCTTTCCATCCTCAGTGCTTCCTCCAAGTGTTGTTCAACATGGAGGGGTACGGATTCGTCAGCTGAGGGAGGACAGTATGTGGTAATCAGCAGGAGGTTTCTTTGCCCATGTTTAACGTGAAGGAATAAGACTTCATGGGGTCCGGCGTCAATGTTGAGGACTTCCAGAGCAATACCCTCCTGACTGTATACCACTGTGCCGCCCCCTTTGCTGGGTCTGTCTACCGGTGGGACAGGACATATCCAGGGATGGTGATGGTGGTGTCTGGGACATTGTCTGTAAGGTATGATTCTGTGAGTATGATGTGTCAGGTTGTTGATTGACTAGTATGTGAGACAGCTCTCTCAATTTTGGCACTAGCCTCCAGATGTTAGTGAGGAGGACTTCGCAGGGTTGACAGGGCTGTTTTTGCCGTTGTCTTTTCCAGTGCCTAGGTCGATGCCAGGTGATCCGTCCGGTTTCATTTCTTTGAGACTTTGTAGCGATTGGTACAACTGAGTGGCTTGCTAGGCCATTTCAGAGGGCAATTGAGAGTCAACCACATTGCTGTGGGTCTGGAGTCACATGTAGGCCAGACCAGGTGAGAGTGGCAGATTTCCTTCCCTGAAGGACATTAGTGAACCAGATGGTTTTTTTCTGATAATAGGCAATGATTTCATGGTGATCAGTAGATTCTTAATTCCAGACTTTTTAAAAACAAATTACTGAATTCAAATTCCACCATCTACCGTGGTGGGATTCGAACCCGGGTCCCCAGAACAATAGCTAGGTTTCTGGATTAATAGTCTTGCGATATTATCAGTAGGCCATCACTAACCCATTTTCAAAATAAAATTGAGTCAAAGCTCCAGGAACACCTTCTGGGCTGTAACTATTATTTCTCCCTCTACTGCCACAATCAAACTAGTCAGTCAGTCATCTAACTAACGTTTGAGAGATTTTGCAGCATTTATCATCGTAACACAAGCTGCACACTAGATAGGGACGACAGGCAAAATACAAATTTCTAAAATCTCAAGCCCTTTTCACCTAAATAACTGCAATTATTCTAAGGGATTTAGAAACCTCGAAACAATCCTTTGAGGAGGAGGAAATACACTAAAGAAAGAATATGTTTAGTATTTGTAAGGAATACAAAAAGTTTGCAACATCACATCCTCCATTCCAGATCCTGCACTGCTGGACCAGCAGTTCTGATCTGTAAACAGTTGTACAACAGCTAAAAACAGCACATAGCAATGAGGTCTACAAACATGTACTTCTCAAAATTAGTAATTCTTAAATGACAATGTATGTCAAAAGTACTTACCAGTCCATGATATTGGTGGACAAAGCAGCCGAGAAGCCAAGCATGTTAAAGCTGATTTCTGAGACTGTACACAATGCCAATCCACCCATTATAGGCATTAAAGACATGTTAACCCATAAACCTAGGATTACAAAGCAGAACAGGCAATGCAGTTGTACCACAACATGCAGGAAAACATCTCAATGCACTTCACAGACACTAAGCCACATAACTTCAAATTAAGAGAAATGATCAAAGGATTAGAGGTGACAAGTAAATGGTGTTATCATTGTGGCGGATCTTGGAGTGTATTGTGCTCTTTGTTAGGATTAAGAGAGACTAAAAGAGGCAAGGCTCCTGGTAAATTTCACCTATTATTAAACATTGTCTAGTAACTACATATATGACAAGGCCTAACACATGGCTTCACGTAGAACCATATCTCAGTAAACTCAATGTGATCCACACATCACTGATGATGAACACTGTCTATTTACATATTTGATCTTTACATCTCAAATGGGACCTGCACAAGTAAGAATAGGATGTGTTGCCTGTGGAAGAGCTGAAGTCGATCAAGAGTGGAGAGCATACGAATAGTTGCATGTACAGGTAACATAAGCATAGATGAGGGCTTCGTAAACAGATAAGCTAAAGCAGAGGCAAGTCCATAATGCTTGGTTAGGATCCCTGTTTAATATGAAGTAAGCTCAGGTTTTGGTGTTTGTTGTGGCTTAGTCTACAAGAATCCCAAGTACACTCCAAGTTTCAGAAACAAATTGGACAAACCTGAGTAACAAGAGAACCTATTCTCTTAACATTATTTACATAGGTAAATCAACACTAAGTGCCACAATCCTTGATTACACTGGGACAATACATTTGGCAATGTTACTATATTTTCCATTGAAACAGGATTTCTTACCCGTGTATTCTCCCAGAATAAGCCTAGACATAATTACAGTGAAGATTGGCGCTGAACTTTTTACAGTTTCTGCAAATGAAACAGCTACATTTTTTAGGCTTACCAGTCCCAAAACAACAGTAGTAAACCTGCACAATAACAAAAAAAAACAAAAATCAATGAATCCTTTTAGTGAAACGTAAAAGCAAATACAAAATGGCACAGCTATCATCATAGAAATCATGAGCAATGTAGATTTGAGAGGTAAAGCCTGACGAGTTATTACATTGAATCTGGCCATCTCATTCCCATTAGTTTCATGTTAGATTTAATAACATGTTGTACGTTCTCCGTGTCTGCGTGGGTTTCTGCCGGGTGCTCCGGTTTCCTCTCTCAGTTCAAAGATGTGCAAGTTAGGTGGATTGGCCATGCTAAATTACCCACTGTGTTCAGGAATGTGTAGGTTAGGTCCATTAGCTATGGGAAACGCAGGGTAATAGGGATAGCGTAGGGGGATGGATCTGGGTGGGATGCTCTTCGGAGGGTTGATGTGGACTTGTTGGGCTGAATGGCCTATTTCCACACTGTGGGGATTCTACAAAAACATGACATATTTAAAGTGATCAAAATATTTTATCAATTATGAAATTTGTTTGATAAAGAATTCTCAATATGCTTAATCATAATACTACCTTGGTCCTTTATTCAAACTGCTGGTTCAGAAACACTGACTCTTACCCCAATGCTGCAGGGGCAATATTAATTACAAGTACAGCCAGATTTTCTTGAAGCACGAAACATCATCTATCAGGCCATTTCCGACATTGCAATCCTGCTGCCTACCAGATGTGACATGGCAGAATGGCAGAGGCAAGTTGGACTCAGGGCCACAACGTTCAAGAGCAGGACCAAAGCTGGCAGATTAGGGGGCCCTGCTCCATTTGCTGGGATACCCGGTTGTGTGAGTGAGTGTTAGGCACCCTAGACCTCTTCTCTTCCTCTGGACATGGCTGTTTCCCACTGCTAAAGGTTACGATTTAATCCACACTTCAAACTCAATAATTTATTCACAAAAATCCATATATTTGGCTGTAGAGTTACTTCTACCATGTGCCAACAATATGCTTCAGTCCAAAACTCCTTAGAGGGGTGATCAGTAACCAGATATATTTTTGTTGTTGGTGGTGGTGGTAGTAGTGGATGTTTATGTCATGCAAATGCACAAATTCAAGTTTAAAGAATACTTTACCAGCTACTGAATTCAAAAAATGAAACCCACTGTTGAATTTTAAAAGAAGTCTCACTTTGGATGGAATATCTGAAATCTGAACTTTAAATCAGTTAAATAATAACTGACTTTTATTGACAAAGGTACTGCTACAGACACATATACTCTACACAAAGACTTTTCTCTTTTAATTAATACCCAATTATATGGCAACCAACCTGAAGTAGGTTGCTATTCTACTCTGTATACCCAAGAGTGACATACACAAATCTAAAGAACAAAACGGTCCAGAATAAAACAAAAACTGAACTGTTTGATTTATCAATTCACTTATGTTTCTCCAGCTTACCTCATTAATCCTACAAAAAACATAATCATAATGAAGTTTGATGGATATTCAGCTCGGGTTTTATGCTGATATAAACAACACGGGATGTATATTTTGAAACAACCAATCACAGTGGTTGTAAGTATTTGTACAGCACCTGAAAAAGTCAGACAAAGCAACAAATAATACCAAGAATTAGTTCAGGCACCAATTGTCAAAATTTTTGTAAATACAGCAAACTTTCTATTAACTGGCACCTATGGGACAATCGATGTCTGGATAATCAAGAGGTACGTGCAATCACAGTAAACTCTGACCAAGTGGAGCTTTGAGACATCGACATCCCTGAAAAAAAATCAATGTAAAAACATCAACACACATCCTAAAATTAATGTAAAAACACAAAATAATAGAAACCTAATGTGAGGGGATATAGATATCACTGATCACGATATTTGTAGTATATAATTTTTGCCAGTTTATCAAGAATGCCAGTTAAGACAAAGTTTGCTGTAGATTCGTTCATAGAATGTGGGTGTTTCTGGCTAGGTAGGGATGGCAGATTTCATTCCCTAAAAAGGATAGTAGTTAACCAGATGAGTTCTTTTGACAACTGACAGTAAACATGGTCCATTAGGCTAGATTTTATTTTAAATTTTTAAAGGCATTTTCACTGTCTATCCTGGTGGTATTTAAACTCATGTCCCCAGAGCATTATCCTGAGGTTCTGAATTATTAGGTATATTGTACTCCACTACACAAACTCTTCCCCTATAAGTTTAACGCTGAATTCTTGATTTAGCAGCTAAAGGCGCGTGGTAACTCAGTGGTTAGCATTGCTGCCTCACAGCACCAAGGACCCGGATTCAATTCCAGCCTTAGGCAACTGTGCAAACTCCGCACAGACATTCTCCTTCCATCTGCACGGGTTTTCTCCCATAATCCAAAGACGTGCAGGCTAGGTGGATTAGCCATGGTAAAGGCAGAATGACAGGGACAGGGTAGGGGCTGGGTTGATGTCGACTTTACAGGCTGAATGGCCTCCTTCTGCACTGTAGGAATTTGGCAGTGAAATGAATCCTGGCTAAGGGACGATTCTATATTAAAAACAGCTATCCCCATTAAAAATAAAACACTTCAGTGGTAACCAAACCATTGTCCATTACACTATATTCTTGGGTGGCTTAGAAATCTCATTTCCATAATGAATCTTTAGCACAAATACTTTTTTTATGGCTCTGACAGCAGCTGTGGAGAGAGTCAAGTTTCAAATCAATAGTCTTTCATCAAAACTCATCAACTGGAAATGTTCTATCCCCAGATACTGCCTGATCCATTGAGCATTGCCATCATTTCATGTTTTCATTTCAGATTTCTGCATCAGCAGTTTTCACTCTCACACATTATTTTACATTTTGATGACAAAGAAAACCAGAAAGAAAAAGTCACAATGGTATAATTATTCTTTCCATAAAAATAAGTCTTTTGAGATATAAGAGATCAGCATTCAAAGCAAACAGATTTGTTGCTTTGCCTCTGGCTTCACATATAATTGTAAGTTTCAAAAAAAAAATCAGCGTATAGAATATATGAAAAGAGCCTAGGACAGGGATGGAGAGCAAATTGCACTAGCATGTTTTTACAACTCTACAAAGTTATTTAGCTCAGAGTGGAGAGTGAGCCACTGTCAGGCCCAGAACTGACTGTGTGATATCAGCAATGTATTAACATTAAAGATTTTAAAGATATTTACCCAGCACTCCTGGTTCTCCTTCCAGCAAAGTCAGGATGTATTTGTTGAGGAAGAGTGTACAGAAACTGAAAAAGTACCAGAGGCTAAGATACATCATGGCCTTGACACTCCAAACTCCAGAGTTTGATTCAATGACAGTAGTCTCTGTGATGGTGATTTTTAATACATTTTCATCCGTACAGCTGTCACTTCGCGTAATTACGATCTTTTCATTCCTATTGAAAAGGGAGCAACGACCTGGAATTTTTTTTTCTTTCTGCAACTTCTCATCAGGCTTTTTCTTGTCTGGCAGAGGATGGGAACTCTCCGTCAGAGACATGCTCTGGTTAGCAGACTGCAGCTTGGTCAGTTACTAAAAGCAAATGTCTGAAATGTTCTGTAGAACAAATGGTCACCCTGCCAAGGATATAAGTGGTATAAGGCTCTGTTAATGTCAAATGAGAGAGATCTGGTCACCATCCAATTCCTGTAGTATTGATCATTTCCACCTTATTCATGCCGCAATGTCAATTCAGCAGCTAGAAAGCAAGGAAATATTTTGTTTTAAAAATTAACCAGTGAGAATATTTAGCGTACAATCTGCTTTTTATAAAAATTGCCTGTGTTCTTGCTTTTGCTAATATACTAAAACATTTAAATCCAAACAGGTAAAGAACTAAAGAAATCGCATTACCTGGATGATTTTGATAGCTTTCTTGTCATGTCATAGATCAAGAAAGTTTGCTAAAGAACACTTATCCCTGTTAAAACTAGTGGGTTGAAAATTTCATGAACCTTTTTCTCCACAGAGATGGTTGTGGAAGAAAAACATAAGCAATAGAAACAAGAGTATGGAACTCCTGGAGACAAATGTCTCCAATCTTCATTGGGCATGGCCTCATTCTTCATTCTCCTGATACTGATATTGCTTTGTTATTTCCCTGCCTATCGGAGGTACACACTGTGCAGAACCCTGACCAGAATTTCCCAGTATCCCAAACTGGACGACGAGTATGGTGTCAACCTACTAATTTGTCACCTACCATCAAATTCAGCCAGAAGGCATACTGTCATCTCAAGCAGTTTCACAACCCAAAAACAAACCCAACATCAGTTCCTGACATACACAGCAAAATTCAGACTGTTACTAGGAGTACTCTTGCCACAAGAGTCAAAAGATTCTAAATTCAAGTCTCATTCCAGGACTTGAGAACAAAAATTTAGGTTGACACTCCAGTCTAGTACTGAGGGAGTGCTGTACTGTCAGAGAGACTTTTCAGCTGAAAATGATAGTTATAAATCATTCCATGGTTACTTCATTATTTTGAAGAGCATCAGGGGCGTTGTCCTGGTATCGTGATCAACATTTTCCCTCAATCAACATCATTAAAAACAGATTACTTGGTCATTATCGCATTCCTGAACATGGGATCTTCCTGTGTCCAAACTGTCATGCTTCCTATATTAAAACAGCGATTACAGTTCAAAGTACTTAACTGACTGTGATCCTGAAAGGCATTACATAAAAGGCAAGTCTTAATTTTTTTCAATACATCTCCTGAACAGACATTCCAAGACAGAGCACAGCATCAGAAATCTTTCATCCCTTCCCGGGATTTTTGAATGTCAACATGACACTAAAACATCTGCTGGACCACAGTCATTGCTCAGTCCTATGCAGGATCAGCACTGCATTATACCTAACCGTCTGATACAGATTTCATCAGTAGAGAAACAGCACCAGAAAATAAAATCAACAATAAACAAAATATGCTGTTGCAGAACAATCCTAATTTTCAACTTCTGTATGTTATTGTGGAACCAGTTCTAGTTTTGATCTGAAGAAAGTAGAAATATGTTCTGTAAAGACATATGGTATTTACACTGATCACATCTGATGAAAAATGCACATATATTTATAAATATGAGATTGTATTTACAATAAAGAGTCACTCATCCCACTGTCATGCTCTCAGGTCGATTTTTTTCCCCCTCCCACTTATGTTTCAGTGCAATCCTGGGATCTGCAGCTCAGGTAGAGGTAGCCTATTGACTTTGGAATTTTGGTATCCTGAGTGAATAAGTAAGCAATGCATAAGTCGTACAGGACTGGGTGGGTGGGATAACAGGGAAAGTTGCAAGAGGTATTAAGAGTGTTAAACCATGAGCCTCGGTGGGTGGTTAAAGTTGGGTGCAGTTACAGAGATACAGCGTGTGAGGGAGCAGAGAGATGGTGGCACATACCCTGACAGAGCATAGAAGCTCAATTGATCTTATTGCGGCATGGCTGAGCATTTCTCTGGATCATGGAGACTGCCCAGATAGTAACCTCAGACTAAACTGGCATGGTCTGGCAAGGTTGCTCCTCTACTAGGCCTAGGGGAAAGAGCAGAGCTCTCCTTTGTATCAAGTCAGCAAGGTCCACAAAGGAGGGTGCCAAATTTCTCCATCTCAATGTTCAGGAAATGGGATGAACTACGTAGGGCAGCTCTGGTCTGACAGTGCTTTACTGGTGCACAACAGCGCTTTAATTATAGCACCAACAGCAGGAGTCCCAGAATATGGAATTCCAACACTGGAAAGTACTTCTGCCTTACTAACACTTCACACCTCTCTGATGAGGTGATTTTAGGAAGATAATGTGAGAAATTTGCCCGAAACCCTTCATGAAATTTATTAAACATGACAGCTAATTTCTGCAAAGAGTCAGGCGTCTGTTTCTGATGCTGACCAGACAAAAAACTACCTACTTACCCAGCTCTGGCTTTTTAGGTTAAACATTTGATGGAGGATCCTGCAGAATTCCTTCAGCAGATGAAACCTCAGAGGGAGCAGCAAAGTGAATCTGTGTAACAGTCATATCACCTTTTTATTGCATTCATAGAGTCATACAGCACGGAAACAGACCTTTGGGTCCAATTTGCTCATGCCGACCAAGTTTCCCAAACTAGTGCCAACTGTCTGCATTTAGCCAATATCCTTCCAAACACTTCTTATTCATATACTTATCCAAATGACTTTTAAACATTGTAACTGTACACGCATCTAACATGCCCTCTGGAAGTTCATTCCACAGACAAACAATTTGTTGTGTGAAAAAACACCCTCCTGTCTTTTTAAAATCTTTCTTCCTCTCACCTTTAAAACATGCCCCACCCTAGGGAAAAAACACCTGCCATTCACGTTATCTCTACCCCTCATGATTTTTACAAACCTCTATACCATCATCCCTCAAACTCCTATATTCTAGTGAAAAAAGTCCCAGCCCATCCAGCCTCTCCTTATAACTCAAACCCTCCATTCCTGGCAACACCCTGGCAAATCTCTTCTGAACTCTCTCCAGCTTAATAATATCCTTTCTAGAACAGGGCGACCAGAACTGGATACAGTACTCCATAATAGGCCTCAACAATGTCCTATACAACCTCACATGATGCCCCAACTTCCTTACTCAAAGGTCTGAGCAATGAAGGTGAGCATGCTATATGCCTTCTTAACCACCTTATCCATACGTGATGCAAACTTTAAAGAATTATGTACCTGCACGTCCAGGTCTCTGTTCTACAACAATATCCAAGGACCTACTTTTAATTGTGTAAGTCATGCCCGTATTTGTTTTACCAAATGCAATACCTCACATTTACCCAAATTAAACTCCATCAGCTACTCTTCAGCCCAGTGACCCAGTTGATCTCTTTATAATCTTAGATAACCTCCTTCACTGTCCACTACACCGCAAACTTACCAACAATTCCTTCTACACTCTCATCTAAATCATTATTACAAATTCAAAACAAAAATGAACCTTGCACCAATCCCTGTGGAAACTTTATTAATTAGTCTACCATGCTGAACCTTGTCAAAAGCTTTAATAAAGTGTGAGTAAACAATGTCTACTTTCTCAAAAACTCAATCAAGTTTGTGAGATATGATTTCCTTCTCACAAAACCATGCCAACTGTCACGAATCATTCCTTGCCTCTCCAAAAACATATAAATCCTATCTTTCAGAATCCCCTCCAACAACTTACCTGCCACCAAAGTCAGACTCACAGATCTACAGGTGCCAGGCTTCTCCTTACAGCTCTTCTTAAACAAAGGCACAACATCAGCCACTCTCCAGTCATTCAGGACCTCTGACACTATGCTATGATACAGATGATACAAATATTTCCTCCCAAACTTCCCACAATGTCCTATGACCCACTAGATCAAGTTCCAGCGGTTTACTCACCTTTATACTTTCTAATACCTCCAGCACTTACTCCTCTGGTATGTGAACTGTTTTCAAAACAACAATATTTAGTTCCTGAATTCTCCAGCCTCCATTTCTTTCTCCAAAATAAAAGCTAACAAAATATCCATTTCATATCTCTCCCTTATTCTGAGATTCAACACAAAGATGACCTCTTTGACTTTAAGGGGCCTTACTCTATCTTTAGTTTCTCTCTTGGTCTTAATGTATTTGTAGAATCTTCTCACCAACATTTTCATTTTGGAAACCCCTGCACAATCCTGGTAGAGTTCAGCCAGAATCTGCAGCGAGCTTTGCTCGGGATAATCACTCATGCTCCCCATAATAATATGCCATCTTCTACTGTGATCTGGTCTCTTCACGTCCAAAAAGGTTTCAATTCTGGTTGCAATGGCCCTTTGGCTTCCCTCCATCACCACTGTTTCAGTTTTGCTAGGACTTGATCTTTATGCATCCAAAGTCTAATATTGTCAGCTGTGACTGGAAGTGTGTCCAGCAGGTGGTAAAGGCGGCAAAAGGTACTTGCCCTTCATTGTGACAGGTTGAGTACAGGAGCAGGGATGTGTTGTTACAGTTGTACAAGGCCTTGGTGAGACCACAGCTGGAATAGTGTGTGCAGTTTTGGTCTCCGTTTCCGTGGAAGAATACTCTTGCTCGAGGGAGCGCAATGAAGGTTTATCAGGCTGATTCCAGGGATGGTGGGTCCTATGTATGAGGAGACATTGACTAGGTTGGGATTATTTTTGCTGGAGTTCAGATAACTGAGGGGTGAGGTGGCAGGGGTGGAATCTCAGAGAATTATAAAATTCTAACAGGGCTGGACAGAGTAGATGCAGGGAGGATGTTCCCGATGGTGGGTGTGTCCAGAACCAGAAGTCAAAGTATGAGGATTCAGGGTAGACCATTTACAATGGAGATCAAGAGACAAAGAGTGGTGAGCCTGTGGAATTCATTACCACAGGAAGTAGTTGATGCCAAAATATTGACTGTATTAAAGAGATAACTAGACATAGCACTTGGGGCGAATGGGATCAAAGGTTATGGGGAGAAAGCAGGATTAGGCTATTGAGTTGTACTATAAGCCATGATCGTGAAGAATGGCAGAGCAGCCTCGAAGGGCCGAATGGCCTCCTCTTATTCCTATCTTCTATGTCTATGTTTCAGAAGTTTCAAAACCAGTATGGACTCTTCTGGTGGCGGAACTACTAGTGGTGTGTCTGCCAGCAGGAGGTGGCTCAATGCATCCACATTCGCTACTTGGCCTCCCGGACGGTGCTGAAAGGTA